AAAGGGGCTTCTTTCACAAACATAAAAAAAAAATTACCAACCTTAAATTTTGAATGATTTGATTTTATTTGATATTTGATTTTATTTTATTCCTTTTTTTTTTTAATCAAATAAGCTAATGTAGGTGAAAACATTAAAAAATCTTAACTTTGAATGGTAGTGTGTTTTTATTATATTTTATATTTTTGTAATACCACACATTTTGTCATCAAGTTGCATGATTTGCGGTATCTTTCATGTCCAAAGTGCAAAGGGGTTTGTTCAAATCCATAACCCAAAATTGTAGCAATAGTAATAGTGATGTTTTCCTTAGCATGCAAAACTTAGTTTCTGGTTTTTGGATTGTGTCTAATACACAGCCTCTTTGACATCAGTTTCCATTCAAAGTCAAGCATCCGTAAATCAAGGGAGATTATACACCATTGTTGTGCTCATACAGCCGAAAGCTATCACGGTAGAAAGAAAGAGTGAAAGGATATGAAAGTGAGGACATATCCTCTCCTCCCCTTCAGTGCTGTATTGTCAGAGAAGTTCGAGTCGGGTCCTTCCTTCCTGTCATATACAGGCAGTGGCAAGAAACGGCTGCTCTTTCATGTCCTCAATGCTCCTAATGAGAGCTGATAGAAATAGGTGAGCATCTCCCCCAGGGCTGTTCACTGACATCTAATGACTGAGAAGAAAGCCAGGGGAGGCTGTGTAGGCATGCTTGTGTTTGTGTACATGTGTTTGTTTGTACGTTCAAATAAACCACCACCTGTGAGCTTGCCATAAACAGCGAGGCAGCGCCCGCGATTCGTTTCAATGGCCTCTATCGCTCCACCCCACCAGTAGCCTTGATCATTCGAAACTTGCCTCGTCACTTTCCGACAGTTCCTTGTGTTCCACTGAAAGTTTGACTGCTACAATCACGCCACACATTGGGTGAATTATTTTTGAAAATGAGCATGAGAATAGCCTGCTCACTTTGAAGGCCACTTGAACAAGATTTTTATTATTTTTTTTATCATTTTTTAATATATATAAATCTGGTAAGGGTAAGGAGTAAAGGGAACAATTCTCACTATTAACTAGTTGCTTATTAGCATGCCTATTATAAACATATTGGCTATTTATTAGTGCTTATAAAGCACATATTCTGCATGACCATAGTCTACATCCCTAATCCTACCCAATACCTACACTTAAAAACTACCTTACTAACTATTAATAAGCAGCAAATTAGGAGTTTGAAGCAAAAGTTGTAGTTAATGGCTTGTTAATTGTTACGTGACGAGAGAGCAGGCAGAGGCGAGGATCTAAATGCAGGGAGTCTTTAATAAACGGTAAAACATACAGAACACTGGAAGCTGGGGAACACAAAAGACGGATGAACGCGCACATTGACTGACAAACCACGAATGGAACACAAGCTCAATTTATACACAAGAGAACCAGGTAAACAAGATAACAAGGGGGCGTGGTAAATGGGAAACACCTGGGGAACCTAATCACGGGGAACCAATACTCGAACGGACTACAAACAGATTACAAACAAGGCACAGGAAACACTTAAACGTAAAAGTCTAAACAGAGCACAGAGAACATGTAACATTAATGAAGACCTTAAAATAAAGTGTGACCAAAAATCTCTTAAGTTCACTAAGACTGCATTTATCTGATCTCTTTTATTTATGTATTTATTAATTAATTAATTAATTAATTTATTTATGGCCATTGCTCCTAATTGTTGATTTGCAGATTAGCTTTGCTGTCTAAATAATGTCTAATGCGTATTTAAAGTTATTTTTAAAAATGATAATAAATGAAATCTTTAGCCAATCATAAAATGAATATCCTTTTCATGCTGTACATTGTTGTGATGTCTAAATTCCTTTTGTTTTTTTTGTTTTTTACGCTTTTTGACATTTTTATGAAAATAATTGCCAGCTTATGGATATTAACCAGAATGTTAATGTCAGTGCATCACTATTTTCCTCTAAAAGTCCTTGAGGGCATAAGAGAAACTGAACACTGTAAAACCTCAAGTATAATGCCACAATTTATGGCCACTAATTTCCTGTCTTTTCCCCTGTCCAATTTCCACCTTCTTCCATCCATTTCGTCTCATGCGTCATCACTCCTCTGAAGCTATGACTCCTTTCGTTTTTGTTCCTTTATAATTCTCTCTCATGCTGAAGGAGACCATTGCACCTTTAATAAAGCACCTGTGAAGTAAAGAGAGAAAAGTTGTGTTTTATTGTTCTATTGGATCAATATCACAGCTGTGTAGCATACAGCAGAACGAAAACAAGCTCCATAGCAACCACTCACAAGACATACCCGGAGCCGTTAAGGAGTTCTTCACAAGGCCGAAAGCGGCGTGGGAGGAAAACAGACACGACATGAGAAGGATGAACTGAGCTTGATGGTCTCTTGTGGTGTGGAACTCCTGTAAACAGGTGACACTGCAGTTTGTTCGGGTGTCTTTTGGCTCTCTTGCGATGGGCAGAAGAGTTAATTTCCAGATGACCTGCGGTGGGATTCAATCATGATTGTGTCACATGTGTACCTGCTCTATAGGAAAGTACTTTTCTGGGCTTCCTGCCTTGGTTTTTTTGGAAGAAACTGCAACCCTGCTGAAAGGAAAACGGCTTAAGCCAGCTGTTTTTGCGACTTGCGGGTCTTAGCTGGTTTAACCTAGCCTATGGTCTCTAAGTCTGACAAATGCCCAAAAGCCTGTAAGAATAATGGTGTGTGCACACCAAAAGCAAAACGAATATTCACATCGCATAATCACACTAGATTACTAGCGGGATGTCTTTCCTATCACTTACGTGAACAAAATCATCTCAAAATGCTCTCCTCCATTTTCTGATACAACCCGAGGTGTCAAGCTGGATGTGTCAATAAGCTCTTTGCTGATTGGCTTGCGTGACAACGCGTCATGTGAATTTTCCACTCGACTCGCCGCGGAATATGCAATTGAGGCGAATATAGTGTGTTCCAACGCAAATTTGTGTCTATTCGAGTCTTTGCATTGACTTTGTGTGTAATCTACTTGCGTGAATAAGTAAATTCACTTTTGGTGTGCACACATCATAATGGTGTACACACCAAAAGCGAAGCAAATATTTGCATCACGGTACTCGCGGGGTGTTTTTTGCATCTTTTGCGCAAATAAAAACAATAAAAAATATTTTCTTATACAACCGGGCATGTCAAACTGGATGTATCAATAAGCTCTTCACTGATTGGCTTGTGTGACAATTCATCATGTGAATTTTCGGCTTGACTTGCGCGAAAAACGCGATTGAGGTGAATATCGCATGTTCGCTACAAACGCATCGCCCATTTCACATCATTCATATCGCCCGGCACAAATTTGAGTCTCTTCGCGCCTTTGCATTGACTTTGTATGTAATCTACTTACGCTAATAATTAATTTCACTTTTGGTGTGCACATAAGACTTTTTTTTTGTCAGCTCTCTTTCTGACTTTTCTGTAAACAAATATAAATAAGACAAATCGCTTACATTACATAATTTATATGCAATTACACATGCTAATTTGTTCGATAATGGAAGCATTTAAAGAGCTGTACAGGTGCTGTTTACGTATGTGTTTAGCCTGTGTGTGCCAGATAATACAAGTTAGCTAATACAGGTTTGGAACCAACCTGTTAAAAAATGAGAAATATGAGAGCATTGTTTTGGGAATATATTCTATTTCTATTGGGAATTCTGTTACTTCTTTTTTATAATAAAATGCAAAATGTGTTGTGTTATCTTGAAGAATTATACTAAGGCTAAGTAGTGCTATGCTATGTTAGCTGCAAGCACCTTAGCTTAGCATATTTCAGAAAGGCAAATGTTTGTCTTTATCTATAAAAAAGTAGCAAATGGAAAGCCAAAAGTTTGTTTTTAACAATAGATACTATCTAGCTTTATTTGAAACAATAGAGACAGTGTGTGTATATACAGTACTGTATGTGTGCTTGTGTTTCTGTCAGCGTGACTTCTTGATTTGTTGTTTTCATGATCCGTTTTAATCCACGTTACAGTCACTTACTTTAGCAACCCGTCCACTAAACAAGACAGCTCTCATTGTGCAATAAAATTCTGCAATTTCACAGCTGTTTGCCGGCCACAGTAAACCAAGATTTGAAGACCTCCTCTGGTGAATCCTGCATTTGTGTTCGCCAGAGTCTTTGCGAAACCTTATGCACTAGGTGCATTTCTCAGAATAATAATGTTCCCTGGGTTAGGAGAGCCGGTAATTATAAAGGAGAAAAACAGTATTAGTGCATGATCTGGCAGAAAGAATCTGTGTGGGGAAGATAAATAAAGCTAATGGGGGCTTTTCATGTGGACAATTACTTTGCTTGGATTCATTTTCTAAATGGGATATTTCATCTTAAGCTTAATTACAAGATATGGGGGAGGGTTCAAGGTGGGCAGCCTCTGTGATTCGATACATGCACTGGGGTTTATTACTCTTGATGAAAACAACTTGTATAAAGGGTCTTTTATACAAAAGGGGTTCATAAAAGAGGCTATTGTTCATTTGTATTTAAAGTCATTAGTTAATAACTGAGCTTTCATTAGCGAGGGAAGTTGCAGCAATCTAATTTGCACAAAAATATGCTTTACACAAAAGCCAAATGAACTGCAGGTGGTAGCACTGGTCACACTAGCCAATAAAAGATGTTGTAATATACAAATGGATCTCATTTGCAAACTTCAGTATATTAACACACTGAGTTAACATAATCATATGTAGAGTGCTGTTATATCATGTTTTAAGACTTCTCACTGTGTGTTCATCATTGCCATCGAGAATCATTTGGTAAATAATTCTGAATTTAGATTTAAAATGTGAGATCAAGCAAATGAGTGTATATTTAGCATGCATGCATGCTATTCCACACATAACTGTGTTTGCCTGTGAGCGTGTGCAATTAACTTTTCTTGTTTTCTTTGCTTTTAACTTGCAACACTCTGGACTTTACTGCATTTATCCAGTCGCATGTGAGTACTGCTGACAAACTTGAAAGAATGAAAAATGTACACACCAGCTGACTGTATACTGCTTGATTGGTCAATATAGATTGACAAATATATTTTTATATTTTATATTTATATTATATTTATATATTTTAAATATTATTTTAATGTTTAGGTATCCAATATCACATATGTACAATGGCATATGTGACCCTGGACCACAAAACCAGTCATAAGTGTAATTTTTTTGAAATTGAGATTTATACATCATCTGAAAGCTGAATAAATAAGCTTTCCATTGATGTATGGAGGATATATTTGTTAGGATAAACAATATTTGGCTGAGATAAATCTATTTGAAAATCTGGTATCTAAGGGTGCAAAAAAAATCAAAATATTGAGAAAAACACCTTTAAAGTTGTCCAAATTAAGTTCTTAGCAATGTGCCAGATAATACAAGTTAGCTAATACAGGTTTGGAACCAACCTGTTAAAAAATGAGAAATATGAGAGCATTGTTTTGGGAATATATTCTATTTCTATTGGGAATTCTGTTACTTCTTTTTTATAATAAAATGCAAAATGTGTTGTGTTATCTTGAAGAATTATACTAAGGCTAAGTAGTGCTATGCTATGTTAGCTGCAAGCACCTTAGCTTAGCATATTTCAGAAAGGCAAATGTTTGTCTTTATCTATAAAAAAGTAGCAAATGGAAAGCCAAAAGTTTGTTTTTAACAATAGATACTATCTAGCTTTATTTGAAACAATAGAGACAGTGTGTGTATATACAGTACTGTATGTGTGCTTGTGTTTCTGTCAGCGTGACTTCTTGATTTGTTGTTTTCATGATCCGTTTTAATCCACGTTACAGTCACTTACTTTAGCAACCCGTCCACTAAACAAGACAGCTCTCATTGTGCAATAAAATTCTGCAATTTCACAGCTGTTTGCCGGCCACAGTAAACCAAGATTTGAAGACCTCCTCTGGTGAATCCTGCATTTGTGTTCGCCAGAGTCTTTGCGAAACCTTATGCACTAGGTGCATTTCTCAGAATAATAATGTTCCCTGGGTTAGGAGAGCCGGTAATTATAAAGGAGAAAAACAGTATTAGTGCATGATCTGGCAGAAAGAATCTGTGTGGGGAAGATAAATAAAGCTAATGGGGGCTTTTCATGTGGACAATTACTTTGCTTGGATTCATTTTCTAAATGGGATATTTCATCTTAAGCTTAATTACAAGATATGGGGGAGGGTTCAAGGTGGGCAGCCTCTGTGATTCGATACATGCACTGGGGTTTATTACTCTTGATGAAAACAACTTGTATAAAGGGTCTTTTATACAAAAGGGGTTCATAAAAGAGGCTATTGTTCATTTGTATTTAAAGTAATTAGTTAATAACTGAGCTTTCATTAGCGAGGGAAGTTGCGGCAATCTAATTTGCACAAAAATATGCTTTACACAAAAGCCAAATGAACTGCAGGTGGTAGCACTGGTCACACTAGCCAATAAAAGATGTTGTAATATACAAATGGATCTCATTTGCAAACTTCAGTATATTAACACACTGAGTTAACATAATCATATGTAGAGTGCTGTTATATCATGTTTTAAGACTTCTCACTGTGTGTTCATCATTGCCATCGAGAATCATTTGGTAAATAATTCTGAATTTAGATTTAAAATGTGAGATCAAGCAAATGAGTGTATATTTAGCATGCATGCATGCTATTCCACACATAACTGTGTTTGCCTGTGAGCGTGTGCAATTAACTTTTCTTGTTTTCTTTGCTTTTAACTTGCAACACTCTGGACTTTACTGCATTTATCCAGTCGCATGTGAGTACTGCTGACAAACTTGAAAGAATGAAAAATGTACACACCAGCTGACTGTATACTGCTTGATTGGTCAATATAGATTGACAAATATATTTTTATATTTTATATTTATATTATATTTATATATTTTAAATATTATTTTAATGTTTAGGTATCCAATATCACATATGTACAATGGCATATGTGACCCTGGACCACAAAACCAGTCATAAGTGTAATTTTTTTGAAATTGAGATTTATACATCATCTGAAAGCTGAATAAATAAGCTTTCCATTGATGTATGGAGGATATATTTGTTAGGATAAACAATATTTGGCTGAGATAAATCTATTTGAAAATCTGGTATCTAAGGGTGCAAAAAAAATCAAAATATTGAGAAAAACACCTTTAAAGTTGTCCAAATTAAGTTCTTAGCAAAGCACATTACTAATCAAAAATTAAGTTTTTATATATTTACAGTAGGCTGTGTGCATTGAATTTATTTAATACACGAGTTTCACAATTTGAGTTGAATTACTGAAATAAATGAACTTTTCCACGACATTCTAATTTATTGAGATGCACCTGTATTTTTTTCTATTGCTACAAATATACCCGTGCTACTTATGACTGGTTTTGTGGTCCAGGGTCACATATTGATTTTCATTATTGTTTTCTTCTTCAGTTTTGGAACAGTAATAACTAAATAATCAAAATGGACTATTAATAATAATAGTAAAAATAATAATAAACAATATCAAAAATTATTATTAATAACAATGTTATGTTGTTGTTGGTATTATTTATTTTATTATTTATATGCTACTGTAATATTTATTCTATTTTTAATTAGATTTCGTTTTTACATTTAAATTTTGTTTTAATTTTTTTATTGTAATACATTTTTAGCTTATAATTTATTTCAGTTTTAGTAATGTTAGTACTTATTTTATTTATAGTTGCCAAAGCAGCATTTCGAAGCTTTTATAGTTTTATGTAACATTTTATTTCAGATTTATTAATAAAAATAATTTTTAATAGTTTTATTTTTAGTTACAGTAACAACACTGAAGTTTAGAGCAATTATTTGAGGATTTATTGGTTGATGCAATCTTAAAGGGGTCATATGATGTTGTTATTTTGTGTATTTGGTGTAATGAAATGTGTTTATGCGGTTTTAAGTTAAAAAAACACATTAAGACCAAACAAAGTAGTTTCGCTTTCACAACGAAACACATGGCGGGTTAGAGTGTGCGGAGGCCGGAGGGCTAGAGTGAGGAACGGCCGGGGGCTTGAGAACGGCGTGGCCGGCGGATTGGACGAAGGAGCGGCCGGCGGGCTTGCGGCAACCACATGTGACGACCCCGGGCTGGACTCTGCTTCATCCTAGGCGTGGTTGACTCTTAACTTTTATAAAGAATATCTCTTTGGATTCGAGACTTTAGTCTTTGCAACTTTACAGATCTTCTTTATGCACCAAGAGCTTGTAACACTTCAAAGAGAAAGGAAAAATTGAAATCGCATCATATGACCCCTTTAAGGAATGATAAATAAATAGTAATATTTATGTAATTAAGAAATTATTCAAGTACATTAAAATATGATTTTGGGTGCTATCCTCTGATCTAGGTGATCTCATCTGACATGAAGGAAGACCACATCTTCCGTCTGATGGGAAGGGGAGCAGATCAAGACCCTAAGGGTGTGTTCAGCATCAACCGACTGACGGGAGATGTGGCAGTTAGCCGAGCCCTGGATCGAGAGGCCATTGCGTACTACCATGTGAGTGAGATATTAACTCTGTTATCTACTGCGTTCTTTTTCCCCCTTGCATACTGTCAGTGAGTGTGTAGACATTCAGTTAAAGAGCTCCACATGAAAACTGCAGGTTTATTTAAGTCCTATTAGACTGTTGCGTGAATAACCGAATGTAATCGAAAAGAAAATATGTTTTTGCTTCACTCCATGCATCAAGGCGATTAATGGCTGTAATGATTCGTGTCTCTTCGGCAGCCGGCGAGTGGCTCAGTGAAGGAAAGCCGACTGCCGTACTGGATGTGGAACTCTCGTTAGAGGAGGCAGTTATTCTACAAAACGTGTGCGTGATCAATGATGCAGCTGTCAGCTGGCCTGTCAGACACTCGGCTAATGTGTGTTGCGAGTTTGTGCATGTGAACATGGTGGCTCCTTTCCGTTTTTGCATTAGTGGTCTGATGGTGACTTTATCAGGTTGACTGATAGCTTTATAGAGGAAAAAATGTCTTTAAAGACCTAATTTAAAATGAGGTCAGTGAGATTTTTGTTAAAAAATACTTTTATTCAGCAAAGATGGATTAAATTTATATAAGTGACATTGAAGACATTTATAATGTTGCAAAATACTTTCTATTCATTGAAGAATTGTGACAAAAAGTATTGCAATTTCCACAAAAAATATTAAGCAGAACAACTGTTTTTGTTTTCAGCATTAACAATAAGAAGAAATGTTACTTGAGCACCAAATCAGCATATTAGAATGATTTCTGATAGATCATATGACATTGAAGCTTTGAATAATGGCTGCTGAAAATTCGGTATTGCCAACACAGGAGTTAATTACATTTTAAAATGTATTAAAATAGAAAACGACTATTTTAAATCATAATATTATTTCACAATTTTACTGTTTTAACTGTATTAAAAACAATGCTAACACCAATATTTTGCACAATAGTGTTGAGACTATTGCGTTCTAGTTTACTTGTAAAAGTTAACACTTCGCTTTGATGACACTAATGTTGCACTACACAGATTTTTGTCTAATCAAATGCTCTATAAAATAATATGTCCCTCCTACTGTCTGTACTGTTGATCTTCAGCCATAAAATAAGGTCTGTAATACCTGAATAAGCAATTTGTTCCTGTTTATCTTAATGGCGAATTGTCAGCTCTAGTGCAGGTCTAAAGCTTATTGGCTAGACCTTCAATAAATCCCACCCCCTTCCTGTTTTAATAGGCAGTGCATCAAAACATGAATGAATTTCTTAGGGTCTTTAACCAGAAAAGAAGAGACCTTTCAATATGTAGAGCTTTGCCAGAAGAAAGGACCACCCTGTGGTAACTCCAGATAACAAGATATACAATACGATTCCTTTGAATTGTTTGCTCGGTTGAGCAAGCTGATACTTTGATTCGAGAATTCCAGAGCTCTTGTTCTCTTTCTCTTTGTGTCCTCTGTCGTTTGACATATTAAGGAGGGTTTACCTGGTTTCTATCCCCCTGTAGAGGAGAACTAAAGCGGCTCTGCTTAGTTTGATATCCACCTGTCTGGCTAGGAACAAATTTAATAAAAAAAAGAGTTGCTCTTCTTCCGCCCTCGCTTTGTTCCGCCCCACTGGTATGCTCCAATAAAGTGTTCTTAGCAAGGTTTTTGAAAAATCTCTGTCAGCCTGACACCTTTGGTTTGTCTTTTCAATAAAACGTAGTCTTTTCTTAATAAGAGATCATTCTTTATATTATTGCTGCTTTTTTGGAGCTGTAGCGTACAGGCTGTTCTTGCTTGGGGCACTTCGAACTTTAAGTCAGATAAGTATGTGTGTTTGGGCCCAAAAATTTCTGTGAGGAAAGATGGCAGATTCCAAATCACATACTTCTCGGGGTTCTCCGCCAGCCAAGGAGCTGCCTTTGAGGTAGAAGGGAATGCTTGGGAGTGCTGGACAGTTTTGGGAAGTAAAAGTAGTTACACTTATGTAAGTCTTCCTGTAGTGGCTTTAAAAGTAGAGTAGCTCTTGTGGTAGCCATTTATTATTTCTTATCCAGTAGCCGTGTAGCCTCACCAAACAGTACATGACTGTACTTAATGTCGGAAAGAATAATTAACTCACCTAAGATTTTCTCTCAAATACACTACTGTTCAAAAGTTTTGTGTCTTTAAGAGTTTTTAATGTTTTTAAAAGTCAGAAATGTTACACAATTTTTTTCTGTAAATTTTCAATGTGTAAATCTGCTGAAATTAGTTTTGTTAACCTTTACAAGTAAACTTGGACACAAATCACAAATGGTCTCAAAACTACACTATTGTTCAGAAGTTGTTTTCAGATCAAAAATAGAGAAATATTGTAAAATATTAAGATAATTGTTTTCTATTTTCATTTTAAATGTAATTTGACGATTTTATAGCAGCTATTACTTCAGTCCTTAGTGTCACATGATCTTTCAGGGATCATACTAATACGCTGATTTAGTGCTCAAGAAACATTTTTTCTTATCAATGTTTTAAACAGTTGTTGGTTTTTTTTTTGTTGTTTTGTTTTTTTGTTTTTTTAGCAAAAATGTGATGCTTTTTTGATGAATCTCAATCAATCAATCAATCAATCAATCAATCAATCAATCAATCAATCCCCAAACAGTTGCATGGTAGACTGGGAAAGTATGATTTATTCTAGTGAGTTGTTTCAAATGGTTCTTTTTCTCAAATGTAGAGTTGTAAAGTATGATTCATCATTGGAGGGATGATGTAAATGAAGAGATGAATTCATTCAAGTCTATGAACAGTATGTTGAATTATTTTTGACTTGGTTATGTAGTTTCTGTTGTATTTAGTACAAATATAGCATTTGAAGTTCGACACTGTCATCCTCAGAGAGACATTCATTCAGAACCCCTCATTGTTTTTGTGCCAGCAAAAATGCAGCTTGATTAAATCTTACATTGTGTCATGTTATAGTTTTTGTTTGTAGCGTGTAGTGTAGCTAACTTCTTTTTCCAAAAAGTAGCGTGACTAGTTTAACAGCTTCAAATTACGATTATCTTGAATCTACAGTTCCATTGTAGCTGCCCCAACATTGCAGATGTTTGCAGATGCATTCTCGCAATTTTATAACCACCATGGTTTAGGTCTGGTGGTCACGGCAGAGCGGGTGTGTGCTCTGAAGAGGAGGGTAATCTCAGGTACGCAGACCCCAGTCGGGATCAAAGCCCTCACTCGGCAGAGCACTTGACATTTACATCTCCTTATCTCCCATTCTCTCACATCCACACCACCCGTAATCTCAAAAGCGTGCGTCGAGCGCGTGCACATCAAAGCTTGACATTTTACAGCACTAATGCTCACACATTCCTATCTTGATGAAGGAATGATGCTAACCACATCTGTTTTTGCATCTGTTGGCTGTGTCTTTATGAGAATGATTACTCTTACTTTTAGTGATGCATTGAAGTAATTTTTTTTTCCATACTGAAACAACAAAATTAAAGTTTTCATGTAGCTGAAAACCAAAACTGAAAATAATGTTTTGGTAATTCAGTTTGGGTAATTGAACTCATTATGTTGTTCAGAGTGTCATGTTCTCAAGTGATAAATTAAACAGTCCTTCATATGGTTATTATAGTTAACTAATAAAACTGGAATTGCAACTAAAACCATAATAATACAAAAAATAAATAAATAAAAAATACTTGAAATAAAATTTTTCGACTTTATAGTTAAGTATTTAAATAAAATGACGTTAACTGATTAAATTAAATTAAATTAAATTAAATTAAATTAAATTAAATTATTTCAGCTAGTTCTCAAGCCCTCATTCTTCATTCTAATTTAGTTTATCTTGATGAACTAAAATAACTAAAACAAAAATAAATATTAATACATTCATATAAATTATATTTTATTATATATTAAAAAATTACAAAAACACAACAAAATTACTAAACTTTAAAATAAAAATAAGAACTAATTCAAAATAATAAAACTTTCATAGTGTCTCAATGATATTTAAATAACACTGGTTCTTCAGCAATATCTTAATTTCAGCTTAACAAATTTTACATGCACACTTTAGTATCATTTTTGGTCATGTTAAAGTGCGTTCACACTGCTGTTGTAACTTATCCATGTTATGTGCTCAAAATAGACACTGAAACAGTCAAAAATGCATCATTAGAGGAGAACTAATTAAACATCACTGTTTCGATTAATGATGTTGCCCTTCCAAAACCATTTTGTGCAAAAACAGAAATTCGTTTTTTTTTTCTGCTTTTTCGGCCAGTTGACTACAGTTCAGTGTGTGTCTTTCTCGTTTCTTGCCTACAGTATGTTGGTTTTTTGCTATAGTTTATTCCTCCATTCTTGTTTTCCCTCTTTCTCTCCTGGCATTCCGAGTGGCTTTCGGAACGAGTCTGACAAGCGGGCATGTCAGTATTGTAATAATCCACTGGCTCACCTGCTATGGCTGAGAGCCTTGGAGCCTCTGACCTCTAATGGCGTGTTGTTCTCCATCTAATCACACAGATGGGCCAGTTCCCTCTCGCCTCGACCACCTTGCGCACACATATGTAGTGCAACACCCCCGCGCCGCCACACTTCACCTAATTCCCCTGCCACACTGGTGGGAATAACCGCATTTTCCGGCTGATCCCTCTGCAGCACATCAGGAGTAATTACACCCCGGCTAATTCCAGCCAATCTCACACTAGGAGTAATCACAGGCGTGTGGCAGCACATGTGGGGAGGGGGGAGGTGGGGGATCCAGGCCAGGGACTGTTTTCGCAGGCGGTACTGCTTCGCTGCTGTGAATCTTAGTCACCAGCTCCACAGGAATCAAGTTTTACTCTCCGCTATTTATTCCTCCCATTTTCCACGTGTATATGCATTAGTTGCCTTATGAGCCTTCTGAACAAACAGCATTTTTACTGTTCGAAATTTTAAAAAAAAGTTTTTTCATAAGCAAATACGAGCCAATGTGTGATTTGTGGTTGATTTTGGCCTCTTAACAATTATGAAAATACAGTAATCGGGATATAAT